CAATCCGCTCATGCCCTCCCCCCTGCTGAAACGTGATGGCTCCGTCGGGCATCTGCGCAACAGTAGTGTGAGACTTGACTTTGGCAGGCTGCAGCCCCTTTAGGCGGTCTCCGACCTGCAGCCACCACTGGGCTCTGGAATTCTTGGGCCCACGCGCACCGGCGAGACCCACGAGACAACCAGCAGCACCAGCCCAATCGACAAAGACCTGGAAGGCCAAGCACTAAGAGCAGACCTGGAAGGCATCAAGATGCCACTATCTTCGCCACCCCTGGCTACTTGCCCAGGGGCCTCGCACAGAGGGACACGTCCTGAAATCCAACTGGCAGCCTCCCCGTCGACATCGACGTTCACCACGGCCGATGGCGCGACGCAGACTTTGGAGACAGTTTGCGCGAAGCCAGCTCCGTCGGTGAAAATCCCACTGCCAGCTAGGGCGGCGAGCGGTTGGCCCCTCGGCCAACTGCGAGATCGAACGCGGCTAAGGCGAACCTTCCCGGGGCGGCGCTGGAACCAGAAAGCGGCGACAGAGGGACACGCAAAGCGCTGACATCTCACAAGCGCCCTTCGGAGGGCAGGGCCCTGCCTTTCGCGTCTCTGGGGCTAGAAGGCAGACACTCGAACTGCCCGTGAAAAGAAAGGCCCCCTGCCTGGCCCTCACAGGCCCTGCAAACACAGTTCAAATCAGGGGCGCGCCTGGCCACCCTAGCCTGAGCCCAGAAAACGTTGGGGGCCAGAGCGCACGATCAGGCAGCATGACAGCTGGCCCAAGTGTCCGTCAACTTCTCGCTCCCCAGCATGTGTCGGAGCTGCCACAGAACAGGCCCCGACCATACCGAGAAAGCAGCTTGGCGGGATTCCTTTCCAATGCTTCCCCGATGTGCGGGGCCGATCAACAGCGCCAATAACGCCGGGGAGAACCTGCCGAAAATCAAAACGCGCCTGAAGTCATCCTGGAACGCCACACCTGCGAAGTCAAGCTGCCATCCGATGCGCCGATGCCACGGGGTTAACGCAACAACAAGTTGCTCGACCTTGGGTCGCGGTCTCTGGCGGCCGCTGACATCCGAGACGTCAGCAGCACAAGACGCCAGGAACGCCTGGGACCTGGAATCGGGCAAAAACAGAATTCGCGATTCATTGTTCTGCGAGCCTCCCGAATGACTTGGAGCGGGCCCCGGCTGATAATCTGGGCACACGCAGAAACTTGAACCCCACGGCATCGCCGACGCGAATGGGGCCCTGAAGACCTGGCAGCTTTGACTCTGAGCAGATGAAGCTGCTGCGGCGCAACCCCATTACCGGGGCATCCCCAGACAGCTTTGGCCAAGGGGGCTGACCGAACAAAAAAAAAAAAAAAACGGGGGAAAGCAGGTCCACGCCAAAGATCTCCAAGCTACTCGCCAGCCTCGAGCCAAGCAGAGATCCCACTTGCCTGAGCCCCAACCCTGCAACAGGATCCTGGGTTGGCATCACCTCCGAAACCACGGCGCGAAAGGACCCTGTTTCCCCGCGGAAATCCACCGAGACTCGTTCTCAAGGCCGCCCAGCAGCCCAGTCATGAAACACACGCTTCGCAGCCACCCAGACCACCCCACTCGGCAAGAATACACTCAAACGCTGCTGCTCCAAGAAATGCGCGGCTGCCTGCCTCATCAAGGATTGGGAGATTCTCTGTGGGTTTGGCTCGATCACAGCATGGACCAGCCTCACCGATCATTCGACAGCTTCGGCTCCGCAATCACGCCACCGGCGTCCCCGCTCAGCTGCGTCTGAACGTCGTCGGCGACGAACATCAAACTGGACATGCTCCGACACCCAATTGCCAAAAGCCGGCTCGCCCTCCACCCCCATGGCCCACTGAGATACCCAGAGACGACCGACGGCAAATTTGATGGCTCGGGGTTCAGACAATGGCGAGGACGGCTACTGGCGAAGCCGAGAATGCGTGACTGCATAATGACCACAACCTGGTGACAGAAATTCACTCCTTGGCAGAAGCACAATCCTGATTCTCATGCAACGGTTGGAGGCATTCCGGCAGCGGGGTCTTGACCGGCCCGATACCTTCTGAGCGTCCGAAAAAGCAGTGCTGCTCATGAGCTGGGACGCCGAAAACTCGGTGAGAAAAAGTTCTGGTTCTGAGAAACATTCTCCGCCGCCGCCTCAACATCGCCAGCGCCTGCACAGGCCTCATCCCGATGGCGTGGCATACGGTGTGCGACGCGTTGACTGGGGTCTGGCATATCAAGGGTAAAAGCTGTTGGACCTTTCTCCACCCAATCACAGGGCCGCCTCCTGAGTTCTTGGAAAGTCACGACGAAGCAGACACGAGGAGAGCAACGGCTGTCCTCGCAGACCTGCCCCTGGCAGGGGTAAGAGTCCAGCAGCTGAGATACAACGATGAAGTCGCGCGCGATGCGCTCACAAGTTGGACCTTCACCCTGCACCGCAACACCCTGGACCGCCTGGAGCCAGGAGGTCCGCCCCAAATCGCGCGCGTCGAAGTTCCAGTCTCCGGCCAGCACGAATGGGAGCGCCCCCCCCCCAAAACAAAAAAAACATGCGGCGCAAGAAACTGCGATGAGTCGACGCTGCCGCCCGCAAGCCCGATAGAGGCCGCGCCGCGCGCTGATCCACCCAGCAACACGCATCCAAGGCCAACCAACGATGAAACGAGCATCTGCGCCTCCACTTCTCGGGCACCTCGGGCACCCGATGCGCACTGACCTCAAATGATGACAACATGCCGTCACAAGCAAACACGCTCACCAGCCGCCCGCATCGCAGGTCCCAAGGCCAGATTGCGCGAACGAGTCCGAGCCCACTGGTGCGCAGAGACCTCCCAGATTGAGGAGGCCTGGTCTCCTGGGCACAACAATCATGCGGGGCACGATCTCCCAGCGCAATACAGCTTGATTCCTTTGCCAGTCGTAAGCGTCGACGGTGCCCACTACCAAGTCGTCGGGGATATCCTAGCACCCCAAGTCAGGGAGAACGCCATACAGCATGAGGCAGACCATGGAAACCTCCGCCTCAGCACCTGGAAGCCGGACGCCACACAGGGCCCCCTAATCGTGGAATCGCTGCAACCCTCGGCTCCCCTCCGCTGGCGGCGGCGCTCCTTCACCACTTCCGCCACGCACTAGGAGGCCGACCAAAACTCGGGAGGTCACAGCCACCCGAGCACAGCGCCGAGGCCACCTCCCCCCGTCGAATATCCGAGACAAGCGACTGCTCCTGGCCCAAGACTTCGCCTGTGGAGCAGAGAACCACGGTGACAGAAACTGCTGAGGCCGCTGTAGCCCTCGTCCTGGTAGGGCAGATGGCTCCACGAAGGTGACCAGAACCGATTCGGGCAGTGTCCGAGGATCGCCCACAACCTCCTGACCCAGAGCTCGGCGCAACAATCGAACACGTGTAACAGAAGTAGCGAGGGTTCGGTATGTTGAGCTCGGTGAAAGCATGCCCATCGGAAGATCCGTCGCACATGCCGAATTGGAGATCCCAACCGAAATTTCGAAAACGATGAGCTCGATGAAACCGTGCCCACCGGAAGACCCGTCGCGCATGCCGAGCTAGAAATCCCAAAAGAAGTTGCGAGGGCTCGCAACGATGACCTCGGTGAAACCGTGCCCGCCAGAAGACCCCACGCACATGCCGAACTAGAACTCGCCTTCTTGGCAGAGGAAGTACTGGAAAGACCGACCCATCCCACCTTATCCAAACGAAGCTGCCTGCTCGCGGGGATGGTCGTTGATGAGCTCCCCTTGGCGACCAAACCGCAGTCCATGACCCCCAAGACGAAGGTAGCCTTGAAGTCGAACTCGTCGAGGGTGAGCTCAGGATTGCTGAGCCAGGGCCGACCATCATACAGTACAGGTGTCGGTGGAGGCTGTGTCTCGTAGCGCACGTCCAAGAAGTAGGGCATGGGTGTACAGCCCTGCCGATGCTCGCAATCACCAGACCCACCAGATGGAAATACCGCCGCTGAGCCCGCCGAAGTCAGCAACGTCATCTTAATAGGATTGGCCACCAATCGAAGCCGCCCTCGGCAAGCTTGCGGAGCGATACATGTGCCAGGCCGTTTCACGCAGCTCTTCGTCCTCCAGTGGGATGCTGGATACGGGAGCCGTACCCAAGAGCGTGCGCAATGCGGCGTTGGACAATCTCTCGAGGGTAGACTGGCCCGCTGGTGGCGGGGCTCCTCCGGAAACGGGGGCTGCCTCGCCTGCTTCGACGCCTGCTGCCGTAGACCTATGTGCAGCTTGAACTGGTGGGCCACTGCCAGCCACGACTCCGCCCCCACTGGGCTAAGTGTCGCATTCGAAACGATGTTGAGAGCGTCGTGGATGATGTGAGCGACCCTGAAAGTCATCAACCAAGCCCACAACGCTGAAGGACCTCTCCAAGCTTGGACGCATCAAGGCCGACCGCCGCCACGGGCTGCGGCTGTGCCACCATCTCCCCTGCAGCTTGCTGGGCCAGGATGCTTCTCCTCTGCTTGACAAGATCTTGGATGCCGCACTCCTGCTGCTAGATGGTCGCATCGCTTGCCCCAATCTGCTTGAGCAAGTTCGCTAACTGGGTGCGCTGGTTCCCAAGACTCTCCTTGGACTTGTGCAGCTGGTTCTCGGCGGCCTCCAAGCGAGCCGTGACCGTGAGGACCCTGGCATGCACAGGTTTGGAATCCAGCAGCCTGAGCCTGAGGCGTTCACGTCCTCCTCAAGCTCTTGCCTGCGTGCCAGCCACGCAGGTCCTCGGTATTTTGCGACTGCTCCAAGTTCTTTGAAGGAGGAAGTGAAGGAGGAGGAAAAGGAGGAGGTTGAGGAAGAAGAAGACGAGGACAAGTAGGATGAGGAGGAGGAGGAGGAAGGAATAGGAGGACGAGGATGGGCGGGGGAGGAAGAGGGGAGAAGGAGGACGAGGACGAGGACGAGGAGGGGAACGAGCAGTTGGAATGACGAGTGGACCGTTGGATTCAGCGAGGCTCTCTTATCCTTGGCAGACCAGAACCTCTGGAACACCTCGTACTGGCAGTCCAGATCCTCCCCAGCACTGGCCACCTGCGCCCGGAGGCCGAAGAGGCCCGGGGGGAGAGGGAGGGGGGAGGAACGGAGGAAGGATGTGGAAGGCAGGAGGGAGGAAGGAGGGCTGAGGGGAGGGAAGAATAGAGAGAGAGACAACAATACGGAGAGAGAAGAAAGAGAGAGAGAGAGAGGCAGGGTCGGAGGAGAAGGGAGGAGGAACGAGGCACGAGGAGGAGGAGGAGGAGGAAGGGAAGGCTACCTGAGGAGGAGGAGGAGGAGGAGGAGGAGGACGAGAAGGAGAAGGAGGAGGAGGAGGAGGAGGAGGAGAAAGGAGGAGGAACGAGGAACGAGGAACGAGGAGGAGGAGGAGGAGGAGGAGGAGGAGGAGGAGGGAAGAGGGCGAGGGAAGGCCACCTCCGCCCACTCCGCCGCGGTCAGCATGTCCTTCATGGACTTCTTGAAGTCCAGGGGGTTCCCCTTCGGCCCGAAGCGGCGCAGCTCGGCCACGTCCACCCCCACTACGCAGAGCGGCTCGCTGGCACAGACCACCCACTCGCCCTCGTGGGAGACGTTGGCGTTCCAGTTCGGCGCCTCGCCCTCGGGCGGCAGCGGGCAGTGGAGGAAGGGCTTGCTGCCCTTGGTCCGACTGATGGACAGGCCGCCGAAGTCCTGGGCCGGAGCCGAACATTCGCACAGGAGCGGGCCGGGTCGGGCGACGAGTGTGCCGCCCGACGTGGAGGAGGCGACAGGGCATGCTGCGCGACGAGAGACGAGCAGCAGGGCGTGAGAGGGAGGGAGGGATGGAGGGGAGGGGAGCGAGAGGGAAGAAAGGGAGACGAGCGGAGGGAGGCGGGAGGGGAGCAGGGAAGGAGTGACAGAGAGACAGGGGGAGGGAACGGTGGAGGATGACACAGAGGAAGGGAGAAGGAAGGAGGTAGACGCAGCGCTGCCAAGAAAGGAGAGGCGAATAGGAGTACAAGAGCAAGATGCAAGAGACAAGCAATGAGAAGACGAATCATACAACGAAGAAGAATGATACGAAGAAAAAAAGAAGAGGGATGAGGAGAAGGAAGCGCAGCGTTACCAAGAAAGTTGGAGGAGGACGGGTACGAGGGCGAGGAGCGGAGAACAAAGAAAAGGAGAAGGGGCAGAGGTCAGAAAGGGAGCGGGCGGGAGGAGGAGGAGGAGAAGGAAGAGGACCAGACTGAACCCTTGATGCGTCAGCGATGCTGCAATACACCCTCCCGTCCGAAGCTTTCCGTCTCACTACAAGGAGCACCCCCTCGAAAGACCAGCAATACTTACAAGGCCATGCCACTTTGACGAGGGCAATTTGGGAGAATAGCTGCGTTGCATCCTCCCGGCGCGTAATCCGAGATGCGGCACGCTATGCTCATACAGGTCAGCGAGGTGTCCAGTGAGATCCCCCTTTCGAAATCGGACCGCCCCCCAGATGTGCAACTGTTGCAAGAGTTTCGAGAGCCACAGGCAGAACTATGAGGCCCATCAGCTGAGCTACGAGAGCCGCAAGCAGGGCTGCGAGGGCCACAAGCAGAAATACTAGAGCCACCAGAAGAGCTAGCAGGACCGCCAGCAGACCTTCGAATACCAGCGGCTGAACTACGAGGGCCACAGGCACCGCTACGAAAGCTACGAGGGCCGCAAGCTAAACTACGAGGGCCACAAGAAGGGCTACGAGGACTACCAGCTGAGCAACAAGGAACGCAAGATCAGCTGCAATGGCCACAAGCAGGGTAAGAAGGACCACCAACTGTACCACGAGGGCCACAAGCTGAGCTACGAGACCTACAAGCAGGGCTACGAGGACCACCACCTGAGCTACCCGAGGCACCAGCTGAGCTGCGAGAAACACCTCAAGAGATACCAGGACCACCTACTCAGCTGCGAGAGCCACCAGCGGAGCTACCAGCGCCACAGGCTGACCTGCGAGAACCTCCACCTCAGCTACGAGGGCCACCAGCTGAACAACGAGGACCACAAGCCTGGCTGCAAGGGCCACACGCAGGGCTACGAGGACCACCAGCTGAGCGAGCCACCAACTGAGCAGCGAGGGCCTCGAGATGAGCTGCGCGGAACACAAGTCGAGCTACGAGAGCCTCCAGCAGAGCTACGAGTGCCACCAACTGAACTACAAGAGCTCCGAGCAGGGCCTCGAGAGCTTCCAGCACAACTACGTGGACCACCTGCTAAGCTGCGGGGGCAGCAAGCTCAGCTACGAGGGCCGCAAGCACAGCCCCGAGGGCTGCCGGCGGAGCCACGAGGACGACCAGCTGAGCTGCGAGAGCCACCAGCGGAGCCACCCGGGCACAGACTGACCTTCGAGGACCTCCGGCAGAGCCACGGGGGCCACAAGCGGAACGACGAGGACCACAAGCTGGGCTGCAGGGGCCACCAGCGGACCTCCGTGGACCACGGCTAAGCTGCGAAGACAACAGGCAGGGCTACGAGAGCCACCAGAGAAGCTGCGAGGGCCGCGGGCTGAGCAGCGAGGGTCACAAGCAGGGCTACGAGGACCACCAGCTGACCCACGAGGTCCATGCGAGGGCAGCCGTTTACGTCTCCTGAGGCTGACAGCAAGACTGGCCCTTTATGGCCAAGAGGGGTCCTTGGATCATTTGACGCACATGCCGAGCGATGGGTATACCGAAGTGGAAAAATCCAGAGTCGCGTGAGGACTGAGAACCTGTAGATGCACGGCTCCAAGGAAAGGTTCAGCAAGATGTACCAACATCGGGCTCAAGCTTTCGGGTACTACAGCTAGCTGCAAAATGATTACGTGTTCGAGCGGGTGTACGACGTCGCATACGCGGAAGGTCAGCCTGAGGCTACCCTATGATTAATCGGACACTGTTCGATGCGATATTCGCCCAATTGGTGTAGATCATAACATGTATCTGACCACAACGGCGAGACCGAACTGCCTGAAGCCGTGCACAGTGCGATGTCATGTACAACATAATCGTAAGCTACAGACGTGAGAACTACGTAAGCAGCGTTTGGACAATGTACTCCATACGCAACATTACTAGCAAGGTAAGACGTCTACAATGAGTGCATGTGTCCTGACTGGGTGGCTCCGCCGCTCGTCCAACCTCCCCCCTCTCCTCGATGGCCTCGGGAGGTGTATGATATGATTGTGGGCGGCCTCCTCTCCCCTCTCCCCCTCTCCTTACAAGTGCGGGCCTTCCACTGCCCCGACCGCGGGCGCCCGCGGCGGGCGCGGGGCGTGGCTCCAAGGGAGGCGCGCGATCGCGATGCGAGAGAGAGAGAGAGAAACAAACAAAAAAGAGGAGGAGAAAGGGGAGGAGGAGGAGAAGGAGGAGCAGGAGGAGTAGGAGGAGGAGGAGGAGGAGGATTGACAATCCCTGAGGGTGGCGCGGCCGAGGCGCTCCGCATCCTCCTCCACCTCCTCCTTCTCATCCCCCTCACCCCTTCCCCTCCCCATCCCCCTCCCCCTCCCCCTCCTCCTCCTCCTTTTCCTCCTCCTCCTCCTCCTCCTCCTCCGCCTCCTCCTCCTCCTCCTCCTCCCCCTCCTCCTCCTCCTCCTCCTCCTCCTCCTCCACCTCCTCCTCCTCCCTCTCTTCCTCCTCCTCCTCCTCTCTCCTCCTCCCCTCCTCCCTCCTCCTCCTCCGCCTCCTCCCCCCTCCTCCTCCTCCTCCTCCTCCTCCTCCTCCTCCTCCTCCTCCTCCTCCTCCTCCTCCTCCTCCTAAATTATTTCTCCTTATACATAACTTCTCCCTGCCGCACCCAGAGGCCAGTTTTTAGGGCGGGCTGGGCGTTTCGAGTGAGACTTCCTCACCACTTACCCTGAAGCATAAACATTGGCAACATATTCACATATGGAGAGCGGGTGGTTTCCAAACTGTGGCTCTCGCCCTAGCGCCGCGCACATTGAGCTTCACGGATTGAGGGCGGGTCGTTTTCAAAATGTGGTTCTCGCCCTAGCGCCGCGCACATTCGTTTTAAAAATATGCAAGATGTTCACGGGTTGAGGGCGTGTGGCTTACAAAATGTGGCTCTCGCCTTACCGCCGCGACCAGTCATTTCAGAACAACGCAAGAGTGTCACGGATTAAGGGCGAATGGGTTTCAGCATGTGGCTCTCACTTTAGCGCCGCGCGACTTTGACATAAACAATTGCAGATGATCCACGTGTTCCCATGATCGGCGTGCCAGAAATGGCGTTCTGGAAGGATTCACGACCATGAGGGTGCAGCAGTTACGATGGTTCGCGGTGTTGAAGTCCCGGAATGGCGTTCTGGCATGACTCAGGGTCGTCAAGACGCAACAGCCAGGGTGATCCGTGGCGCTGGAATCCCGAGAATAATGCTTGGCATGCCTCAGGGTCTTCAAACGTTTCTCTTCCAACGAGGCAGGTCCCTCTGTGGAAATGAACCGTTGTAGGGGGCCTATGAAGAGGGAGCTTGGGGGAGGGTGTACTCCAACATCGTTGGTGACTCTTGGGTCTACACTGGTCCTCCTCCTCCTCCTCCTCCTCCTCCTCCTCCTCATCATCCTCCTCCCCCTCCTCCTCCTCATCCTCTTCCTCCTCCTCCTCCTCCTCCTGCTCCTCCTGCTCCTCCTCCCCCTCCTACTACTACGACTACGACTACGACTACGACTACGACTACGACTACTACGACTACTACTACTACTACTACTACTACTACTACTACTACTACTACTACGACTACTACTACTACTACTACTACTACTACTACGACTACTACTACTACTACTGATATTACTACTACTACTACTACTACTACTACTACTACTGCTAAACTACTACTGCTACCATTACTACTACTACTACTACTACTACTACTACTACTACTACTCCTACTACGACTACTACTAATACTATTACTACTGCTACTGGTACCAGTACTACTACTACTACTACTACTACTACTACTACTACTACTACTACTACTACTACTACTACTACTACTACTACTACTACTACTACTACTACTACCTACTACTACTACTACTACTACTACTACTACTACTACTACTACTACTACTACTACTACTACTACTACTACTACTACTACTACTACTACTACTACTAATACTACTACTACTACTACTACTACTACTACTACTACTACTACTACTACTACTACTACTACTACTACTACTACTACTTTCTCCTCCTGTTCCTCCTCCTCCTCCTCCTCGTCCTCCTCCTCCTCCTCGTCCTCCTCCTCCTCCTCCTCATCTTCCTCCTCCTCCTAACATTCCTCCTCCTCCTCCTCCGCCTCCTCCTCCCTCCTCCTCCTCGTCCTCCTCCTCCTCCGCCACTGCTTTTCCTTATGAACAACTTCTTGCTGTCGCACCCCGGGGCCAGTGTTTAGGGCGGGCCGGGCGCTTTGCCTGAAGCTTAAAAGTGACGACATGTTCACAGATGGGGGGCGGGTGATTTCTCAAAAGGTGGCTCTCGCCTTGGCGCCGCGCATATTCTATTAAAGTTTGCAAGAGCTTCACGGATTGAGGGTGGGTCGTTTTCAACATGTGGTTATCGTCTTAGCGCCGCGCACATCCATTTCAAAATATGCAAGATACTCACGGGTTGAAGGCGGGTGGTTTGCAAACTGTGGCTCTCGCCTTAGCGTCACGCACATTCGTTCTAAAAAGTTGCCAGAAGTTTCACGGATTGAAGGCGGTTCCATTTCAGAATTTGGCTCTCGCTTTAGCGCCGCGAACATTCGTTTTAAAAAGTGCTAGAGGTTCACGGATTGAGGGCGATTCCTTTTCAAAATGTGGTTCTCGCCCTAGCGACGCGCACATTCCTTTTGAAAAGGTGCAAGAACTTTTCTACGGAGTGAGGGCGGGTCGTCTAGCTTCACGGATTGAGGGCGGCTCCTTTTCAAAATGTGGCTCTCGCATCAGCGCCGCGCGTATCCGTTTATACAAGTTGGAAGAGTTTCACGGATTCCCATGATCAACGTACCAGAAATGGTGTTTGGGAAGGATTCATGATTATGCAGGTGCAACCGTTATGTTGATTCGCGGTGTTGAAGTCCAAAAAAGGGGCTTGGAGGGAGGGCTTCTTCCAACATCTTTGATGACTCTTGGGTTTACACTGGTCTTCCGCCTCATCCTCCCCCTCCTCCTGCTCCTCCTCCTCCTCCTCATCATCCTCCTCCTAATCATCATCATCCTCCTCCTCCTCCTCCTCCTCCTCCTCCTCCTCCTCCTCCTCCTCCTCCGTCTCGTCCTCCTCCCCCTCCTCCTCCTCCTTCTCCTCCTCCTCCTCCTTCCCCTCCTCCTCCAACTCCGCCTCCAAAACCTCCTCCTCCTCATCCATTTCCCTTTCCTCCTCCCTTCCATCTTCCTCCTCCTCCTCCTCCTCTTCCTCCTCCTCCTCCTTCTCTTCCTCCTCCTCCTCCTCCTCTCCTTCCTTCCTCCTCCTTCCTCCTCCTCCTTTCTCCTCCTCTCCTCCTCTCCCTCCTCCTTCTTCCTTTTCCGCCTCCGCCTCCCCCTCCTCATCCTCCGCCATCCTCCTCCTCCTCCTCCTCCTCTCCTCCTCCTCCCCCTCCTCCTCCTCCTCCTCCTCCTCCTCCTCCTCCTCCCCTTGTTCCTCCTTCCCTTTTCCTTATAACTAACTTCACCCTGCCGCAACCCGACACCAGTTTTTAGGCCATGTCGGGCTTTTCGCCCGAAACTTCCTCACCATGTATGACCACGAAGCTTAAAAAATGGCAACAACCTCACAAATGGAGGGCGGGTCGTTTTCAAAATGTGGCTCTCGCCTTCGCGCCGCGCACATTCGATTTCAAAAGTTGCACGAGTTCACGGTTAGGGGCGGGTCGTTTTCAAAATGTGGTTATCGCCTTGGCGCCGCGCACATTCGCTCTAGAATGGGCCAGAGTGTCACGGATGGAAGGCGAATGGTGTTCAAACTGTGGCCCGCCTTAGCGCCGCGCGCAAGTTTATAAAGTACACGAGCTTCACGGATGGAGGGCGAATGGTGTTCAAAATATGGCTCTCGCCCTGGCGCTGCGAACATTCGTTTTTCAAATGTGCCAGGGCTTTACGGGTTGAGGGCGGTTCCGTTTCAAAATGTGGTTATCGCTTTAGCGCCGCGCACCATTGAAGTTGTTTTTAAATTAGCGGGCTCCCATGGCCAGCGTACCAGAAACATTGTGTTGGAAGGATTCAGGGTCCTGAGGGTGCAACAATTAGTTGCTTCGCGGTGTTGAAGTCCCAGGAATGGCATTCTGGCACGATTCAGGATCGTCAAGACGCAACAATCAGGTTGATCCGTGGCGCGAGAATCCCGAGAACGATGTGTTGGCATGCTTCAGGGTCTTCAAACGCTTGTCTTCCAAAAAAGCAGGCCCCTCAGTGAAAATGAACCCTTGTAGGGGCCTATGAAGAAGGAGCTTGGAAGGAGGGTTGCAACATCGTTGGTGACTCTTGGGTTTACACTGGTCCTCCTCCGCCTCCTCCTCCTCCTCCCCCTCCTCCTCCTCCTCATCCTCCCCTTACTCATCCTTCCACAATTTCCTTATAACTAACTTCACCCTGCCGCACCCCGAGACCAGTTTTTAGGGCGGGCCAGGCGTTTCGCATGAGACTTCCTCAGCATGTATGGCCACGAAACATAAAAAATGGCAACCGCTTCACAAGTGGAGGGCGGGTCGTTTTCAACATGTGGTTCTCGCCTTCGCGCCGCGCACATTCGATTTCAAAAGTTGCACGAGGTTCACGGTTAGGGGGCGGGTCGTTTTCAAAATGTGATTATCGCCTTGGCGCCGCGCACATTCGCTCTAGAATTTGCAAGAGTGTCACGGATTGAAGGCGAATGGATTTCAACATGTGGCTCTCGCCTCAGCGCCGCGCATGGAGGGCGAATGTTGTTCAACGTGTGGCTCTCGCCCTGGCGCTGCGAACATTCGTTTTTCAAATGTGCAAGGGCTTCACGGGTTGAGGGCGGTTCCGTTTCAAAATGTGGTTCTCGCTTTAGCGCCGCGCACCCTTGAAGCTGTTTTTTAAGTAGCGGGCTCCCACGACCAGCGTACCAGAAACAGCGTGTTGGAAGGATTCAGGATCCTGAGGGTGCAAAGGATTGCAAAAAAAACAAGGATTGCAAAAAAAAACCCTTCGGTTTTTTTGCAAAAAAAACCAAGGGTTTTTGCAATCCTTCGGTTTTTTGCAATCCTGTGTTTTTTGCAATCATTTGCAATCCATCGTTAGTTGCTTCGCGGTGTTGAAGTCCCAGGAGATGGCATTCTGGCACGATTCAGGATCGTCAAGGCGGAAACAATCAGGCTGATCCGTGGCGCGAGAGCCCCGAGAACGATGTGTTGGCATGCTTCAGGGCCTTCAAACGCTTGTCTTCCAGAAAGAGGTCCCCCAGTGAAAATGAACCCTTGCAGGGGCCTATGAAGAAGGAGCTTGGAGGGAGGGTTGATTACAACATCGTTGATGACTCTTGGGTTTACACTGGTCCTCCTCCTCCTCCTCCTCCTCCTCCTCCTCCTCCTCCTCCTCCTCCTCCTCCTCCCCCTATGGCTCCTATGCCTCCTACTCCAATTCCTCATCCTTGCTCCTCCTCCTCCTCCTCCTGGGGTGGAGGGCGTTCTCCGCACCCGGGCCATTTCGGCCCGCCCAGCTCCCGCCTTGTGCCCGAGCGCCTTCGCCGACTGGAAGTCGCAGGCGCCGCCCAGGAGAGGGGCAAGGGGCAGAGGGGGCGTCCCTGGGTCCACGGGGTCTCTCGGCGGGAGGGAGGACGAGGAGGAGGATCACTGACCGAACTGCTGGGTCTGAGGGAGGAGGGAGGGAGGGAATGGAGCGGAGGGAGGCGAGGGAGGAGGGAAGGGTGAAGAGATGAAGGGGAGGGAGGGAGGGGATTGAGGAGGGGAAAGAAGGGGAGGTGCGAGGAGGGATGACGGAGGGAGCTGGGAGGGGAGGGAAGAGGGAGGGAAGAGGGACGGAGGAGGGAGGGAAGAGGGAGGAGGGAAAAGGGAGGAGAAGGAACAAATGACGAGGAGAAAGAAGCTCTCCCCTCCCCCCAGACCACAATGGCACAAACCCTCCCTGACCCAGTCCAGGTTCCCTCTCCCTGACACATCCTACAATTCCCCGACCGAGAATCCGTCCACCAACATCGAGTCTCAAAATCCGACCCCTCGAACAATAAACCTCTCCTTCCCCCTCCCCGATCACTGACTGGGGGGATTCAAGACACCGATAGCTTTAGTCTCTGGACATCTCCCGGGGTGCGTTCTGATCAGGATTCCGAGGCGAATCCAGCCGTGGTGACAAGGGCCCCCCATGAGGCCAAAAGGGGGAGAGCGATGGACGGGCATTGGCGTCGGTATTTTGTCCCATCCTCCGCCCCGAGATGCCGAAATCCGTCCAGAATCGGTCCGTGAAACCCAGCCATTCTGACCGTCAGCGGCCCGACTCTGGCTTGCAGAGGCCGAAAACTATGGAAAGCCTGGGCCATCTAATGCGTTGCCCCTTGACTGATGCCCCCCCTGGCCCGAAATCTCCCCTGGGCCACCCGTCGACTTTGAGTCGGCCGGGTCACCAGCATGCTGGCCCGGCGCAGCAGTAGCCGCGCCACGAGCGCGCGCTTCTGGTCCTCGTGCCGCTTGAACCTGATCTCACAAGAAATGCACACGCCGACACCGTTAGTAGAACTCCAACGTCTTGACCAAACACAGTACTTGTGTCTTCCTCGCCGCGGTCGGCATCTGTGAGCCGTCTTCGGGCTCCAGGGACGTCAAAAAAAAACAACTCGGGACGAACAATCAGTTCCCCTGGAAGGGGTCGTGACTTCTGTGGGGCCCGCACTCATCGAGCCGAGCCGACAACAAAAAAAACACATCGACCCAATCGGCGTGTGTGAGAGGCTCTTCGACTCGAGGCCAGCCCAACACAAACTGAAGTACGCCAGCCTCCATTGAATCGTCTTCGTCGGAAGGGAAATCGAGCAAATAAGGGGGATCGAACCAGGTCAGAATAACGTCAAAAGAAAGCCCCTTCGCTTTGTTCCTTCCCCGCCGGGGGGGGGTCCAAAGGCACCCTGGGGGGGGTTCCGGGGGTCGCGTCGTGACCCCAACCCTGGGCGTTCCCCCCAATGGAGAAGGAAGGCAAGGGGGTGGTCTCCCTGTCGGCAGCGGAGCTCAGGACCCATCCCCCCACCTCTGCCCCAGCTCCAGCCCAGGTCCTGGCCCAGGACCTGGCCACGATCCCTGCCCCGGCCCCGGCCCCGGCCCAGGTCTCGGCTCCAGCCCTGGCCCCAGCCCAGGCACCGGCCCCCGGCCCCAGCCCCGTCCCCGGCCCCAGCCTCGGCCCAGCCCCAGCCTCGGCCCCGGCCCCCGCACTGGCCCTGGCCGTGGCCCCAGCCCCAGCCCGCCCCCGAGGAGACAGACGGCGGTTTTCCTCCTCCTCCTCCTCCTCCTCCTCCTCCTCCTCCTCCTCCTCCTCCTCTTTATTCTTACTTGTAGTCATATTGTTACGATTCGCAGTCTTATCATTATAATGAATAATAATACGATTGATCTTCGCATTCCGAATACCATTCGCATGCGTAATAATATCGGCAGTGTTACTGCTGTCGTTGTTAGTGGTAGTGGTAGTGGTAGTGGTAGTGGTAGTGGCAGTGGTAGTGGTAGTGGTAGTGGTAGTGGTAGTGGTAGTGGTAGTGGTAGTAGTAGTAGTAGTAGTAGTAGTAGTAGTAGTAGTAGTAGTAGTAGTAGTAGTAGTTGTAGTAGTAGTAGTAGTAGTGGTAGTAGTAGTAGTAGTAGTAGTAGAAAGTAGAAAGTAGAAAGTAGTAGTAGTAGTAGTAGTAGCAGTAGCAGTAGTAGTAGTAGTACTGAGACCAGAATTACTAATGTCATTGTGGTTATTGGTATTAATGTCCTTACTCACCAATTCGCACTGTTAGTCGTATTACTACGCTTGTTGTACTCACCCTCCTCTTGTTCGTATTATTCGTACCGTGTTGTTCACCGAGTTCCTCTCGTTGGTATTGAAAATACGATCTGTTGTCGTAGCATTATTATCACTCATATTATGCGCACTCTCTTATTGTTCGCAGTAGCCTTATCATTGGTAGCCTAGATCTTCTTTGAAATATTTTTCTACTTAGTTATATTATGACTAATATCATGATTAATGTTAGTATTGACCGTGGGATCGCCATTCCTCTTATTATTGAGAAATTATATGATTCGCGTCATTATCAATCTTATTGGTTATTTGTAATTCTCGTCGCAGTGTTCTCCATATTCGTATTGAGAATACTTTCATGTGGTATCACCAATGCGACTCGGATCATGACTACCCTGACTAAAACTACCCTTTTGATAGCAGTATTTATCGTATGTTTGATGTAAGTGTGAATGGCAGTACCATTAGTACCGATCCTCTCTGTCAGCACGTCCACCACGATCAACAATATTCATTTCAGAAATCGTGTTCCGCTTACTCTTCTTAGTATGGTTAGAATTGTGGTTTTCTGGAAATGCGTATTGCTCTTAAACGATACAGGTCTCGTTCGTATCATCATTCGTATTATGAGCCTGATTAGTATTAGTATTATTCGTTTTGGCGTTCGTCGTCTACTTCGTAATCTTAATACTGTCATTATTCGTCGTAAAAATATTGTTAGTGTTGTTGATTTATTCGTACTTTCCACACCAATAATATGCTTACGGTGTTTCTTGGTATTCCTCCTCATCCTGCTCCTCCTGTTCCTGCTCCTCCTCCTCCTCCTGCTCCTCCTCCTCCTCCACTTTCTCCTCCTACTCCTTGTCCTCCTCCTCCTCCCCGTCATCCTCCCCCCTCCTCCGCCTCCTCCTCCTCCTCCACCCACCGCTCGCCCCATGTCCCGAGACTAGCAGGGTCCTCAGTTCCTCGTCGCTGTCGTTGTTGTCAGAATCAGAAAGAACGGAGGCTGCCAGAAGGGGGTTGGGACCCAAAAACAATCGGTCAGGAGGGGGGCGGATGATGCCAAACCCGCCCACAATCGGCGCCCAGGCACTTTCCGCGGCCTATCGGGCGCACCGTATCACTCCGGATCCGTCGATTACGGTCCGCGGGGCCCGAAAACGCACCCCCAGGCCGGAAAAGCATAGGAAACCTTCCCGAACCAAGAGCCTCGAACCTGCCCACCCCTTCCGGCTGGCCGGATCCAGCGCTCGGTTACCTCAGACCCCTAGACGGCTACAACGACAACAACAACAATCATTTTATCACCATGCGCCATGCTTCCACATGTCACGCGCATCCTTCTGGATACCACACCCCACCATGGAGATTTTTCCGGCACGCGGGGCCCGATGATCCCTCGCCCAGATCTCCCGCCCAAGAAAGCATCGCCAGAACCCCGACCCCCCGATGAACTTCGACATCCACAGCTCGGACGGCACATCGCCATCGCAATCGCCTTGCGCACGCCCCGCATCTCGGAGGAGGGAGAGGACGAGGAGGGGAGGGAAGATGAGGGAGAGGAAGAGGGAGAGGAGGAGGAGGAGGAGGAGGAGGATGGAGGACGAGGAGGAGGAGGAGGGGGAGGAAGGAGGAGTAGTTGCAGTAGCAGTACCTCCGGGGACGAGGTGGGTTTTACTCCTCGTTCGAACTGTTACGCCATCATCCTGCGGCCTCGGCGCGTGACCCTGAACGTTCACGCCCCCAGGCGCTCCCCTGCTCGCATCCTCCACCTGCCCCTCCACACCGTCTCCAAGAATCCCTGAAGTCAATCCTTCGACCCTCGATCCTTAGAGCCCCTGGAAGTCATCCGTCCTCCTTCTTCTCTTCCTCCTCCACATTATACATGCATTTCAGATACGACAGTTATTGAATAAGTACGGTTGCCCCCCAAAGGCGACGCCGAAACGAGGAGGGACGAGAGAGAGGAGGATGGGGTGGAGGAAGGAAGAGGGAGGAAGAGGAGGGAGGGGGGAGGAAAAAAAAGGAGAAAGTGGAGCAGGAGGAGGAGGACGAGAACAAGGAGGAGGAGGAGAAAAGGGCGCCAGTCCAGCGCAAAACGGGAGGAAGTCTCGGACGGGAGCGCTGGTTTTGTCGGGACGGGGGCTGTCGGCGGCGAGCAAGAGCACCGCCTTGAGTAAAATAGGGAGAAAGTCTCGAGCGGGAGCGTTGTTGTTGCTGGGTGGCGGCGCCGATGAGAGAAAGAGTAGCGCGCGTGTCCAAGGTAAACGTGGAGAAAATCTCGAATGGGAGCGTTGGTTTTGTTGAGACGGCTGCTTTCGGCAGCGAGCAAGAGCACCGGCCCTAAGAAAAAAAGAAGAAGACTCGAACGGGAGCGTTGTTGTTGTTGGGGGGCTGCTTTTGGCCGCCCCCCAAACCGCTTGAGACTGAGCCTCATTTTCGATGAAAATGCAGCCGGCGCCTCGGCGAAAGCGCCAGGGCGCCTGTAAAGGGTCCACCCATAATACTTGTTTAGTCATTAACATTCAACAACAACAACAACAACAACAACAACAACAACAACAACAACAACACCAACAAGTACTAGCACGTGGGGACACTCCGTTCTCACCAGTGCCAGGGTTTTCATAGGAGGCGGGCAATACCCCCACTTTGTGGGGGGGCCGGTTCAAGCTCTACCAAATTTCCAAACGACTCTTCGCCACCACCCACACCCAGCTTCCCGCCCTATGACGTTCGGACACTTCACTTCGTGGCATGCGGACGACCGTGGCTACTATTCAGGGCCCCGCGGCCGACGACGACGGCGTGCGCGCGCGAAGAAAAAACGAATGTGTCCCGCATGGTATTATTTGACAGGGATGATGGCCCTGGCAGGTGCGCAACCGTTGTCGCAGAAGTTCGAAAAAGTTGCTCGCAAAAGCCCGTTTGACAGAAATGTTTAAAAAGTGTTGGGTTTCCTACGAATCCGCAAGAGCGCGCGGGATGAGATTTTGACATTTTTTGTTGAAAAACCATTGGTTTTTTGATGTTTTTATGTTAAAATCGCTGCGAACACTAAGGTTTTGGAAGGATTTCGTCTTGCGCGCGCGAATGTCCACTTTACCTTATTTTTTGCAAGGGATTCTTGAAATTTGATTATATTAGAACAAGAAATGTCATTTTCTATTGTTTTTTGCAAGGGAAAGCGGATTACAACAAAACAACCGGATCCTGTACACACCCTCTTTTCTGAGGCTTCCTCACGAAAATGATGAAAATGTAGCTGCGGCCTAGGCGGCGCAGGGGGGGCGCGCACCAGGGGGCCCAACAATAATTATTCTTTAGAATAAATAATGTTCAACAACAACAACAACAACAACAAGAACAACAACAACAACAACAACAACAACAACAACAACAACAACAACAACAACAACGACAACAACGACAACCACGACGACGACGACGACGACGACGACGACGACGACGACAACAACAACAACAGAAAAAAAACAAAAAAAAAATAAAAATCATTTTAAGACTGTTCGCCCTTATCCGCTCGAGTGTCCAATAACGCGTATTTCCCAATCCCTCGATACCCGCCCTCTTCGTCTTCGATCGAAGCCTTTTTGGGGGGTATACGTTTCTTCCCTGCAGGGCAGGCCCCGGCAAGCGGCGGGGCGGCCGCGGACCGTCGGCCTGGCCAGCGGCAGCGCTGATC